GGGGAAACAAAGGAGGAGGCTACAATGCTTGATAAGAAATGTACTCATTATCTTGCCCATGTAATTGTAACCCCTCTGTACAGTATGTTCACAATAAAAAAAGAAAAAAATAAAATCTTTCCTGAGAGTCAGGCATCCTGGGTTTTAATTATGGCTCCTTTTATTTTAATCTGACTTCAGTTTTCTTATCAACAAAAACGAGGCTGTTAATACAGATGAGTGATTCCCTGTGCTGGTACTGGAATTTGAACTTGGGTCCTCAGACTCTCATTTGTTTGTTTTTTCCCCTCAAAAGTAGCCCCTCTACCACTTGAACAACACCTCTATCTTTGGCTTTTTGCCAACTTAACTGAGATATGATTATCTCAGATTTGCCTGCCTGACTTAATTTCAAATCCAGAACCTTGGATCTCAACCTCCCAAATAGCTAGGATTACAGGAATAACACTAACACCCAGCTAGATAAATAGTTCTTAACCAGAGTATAAGTATTATTTGGTGGTTCATAAACTCCTCAAAATGTCTAAAATTTTTTTTATAGCAGAGGGCCATTTCCAGAGAGGTCTAAAAGGTCAATCAGATTTGCAAAATGTTTGTGGATTAAATAATATTAATAATCAATTGAAGAGATGGAATCTTTGATCTCTTTCAGAGCTGACATTTGATAACTCTAATCAGAAAACTGAAAAATGTGACCATGGTAACCCAACAACAGACATTGACATAACTCTTCTAATGATCAAGATATTGGCACTTGGCCCAAAGTGCACAGTCTGGAGGTCTGGGGTACAGGCTAAAACTTTGGGCTTTGGTCACTAAGGCTAAACCAGAAGCCGGTAATCTTAGCTCCTCCCTTTGCAGGGTTATACAGAGGTACTGAGATCAAAAAAGAGGAGAAGCAATGGGGGCTGCACATTATGGTGATAAAGGTATGAGTCAAAGCTGCTCTGAGTTAAACAGCATAAAAATCATCATGAGTCTCAGCCATAACTTGTATTCTACTGTGCTACAATAAGAAACCAGGGATATCTGAACAGGAAGCTTACGTCTAGGTGAAATGCAAGAGAAAAGCTTGGCAGTACAATTGTTTTAGCCTTTTCGAAATTCTGAAATGATCATATATTAATTTATTTAAGTGTGAATCTATCTAAATTTCTAGACAGTAGTGTTTTCCTAGATGTGGTGGAAAAAAATCACATCTCTCCCAATCCAATTCATGGAATAGTATTTATTTTCTAAAACCATTAAATGTTCCATGAAATCTATATCTCTTCCTGCCAATATGACTAAGTCTTGCACTTACATGATTTCATCCTGGCTGCTAGGCAAGAGGAAAACAGAAAAACAGATAAACTGGCAGAGCCAGGTCAACTCTCTGCCTTGGGAGCACCTTAAGATCAACTTAAAGAATCTAGAACTCCATACTGCTTTCTAGAGTGGTTGAACAAGTTTTACATTCTATGGACAACATAACAGCATTCCCTTTGGGCCACATCCCTACCATACCAACAGCTGTTATTGTCTTCTTTTTTTATAACTGGGGTGAGGTAGAATCTCATTGTTGTTTTGATTTGCATTTCTTTTTTATGGCCAGAGATGTTGAACATCTCTTCATGTGTCTGTTGGCCATTCTTATTTCTTCTTCAGAGAAGTCTCTCTTAACGTGCCTATGACCCAGCAATCACACTCCTGGGCATTTATGCAAATAACTACTAACCAGGCCACAGTAAAGCCACTAGCACATGTTCACTGTAGCATTGTTTACCATAGCAAAGACATGGAATCAACCCAGATGCCCTTCAGTGGATGAATGGATAAAAAAAATGTGGGTATGTATACACAATGTAATTCTATGCTTTTGTTAAAAAGAATGACAGAATAACATCGCCACAATCATAAGGAAATGCAAAGACTTAGAAAAAATTACATTAAGCAAAGTAAGTTAGACTCAAAGGAACATAGGTTGCATGGTTTCCCTCATTTGTAATAATTAGAATGTGCCTATAACTCTACAAGTAAATTCAATGGATGGTAAAAGACAAAAAATTACCCTTGTACATGATTAGTTAAACATGTAAACTTTTACACAATGAGACCAAAGGAGAGGATCACAAGAGCCTAATAGTGATGTGCATATGACCATATAAAATGATGCCTATTGAAATGAACTCCAAGAATTGGAAACATGAAGTGTTTTCTAATTGTAATCTTTGCAGTTCTTTTTTTTCTTTCTTTTTTCCCCCTTTTGAAGCTGTTTTTTATTTCTGTACCCTGTATCATATGTAAGTTTATGTGATTTGGGGAGGGGAAGGGAAAGAAGAGAAATAATGGGACCAAGGGTGAACCAATTCAGCAGTATACTCACTAGACACTATGTTGAAAATGAACTATAAAACTTGGGGAAGAGGGTTCAGGAGGGAAAAATGGGAGAAAATGAGGATGACATTGTTCAAAAAGAAATGTATTAATTACTTGACTTACGTAACTATAAACCCCTCTGTTCATCACATTTACAATAAAAAATGTTAAGAAAAAAAAAAGAATCTAGAACTCAATCTCCTTCCTTAGAAGGAAAGAGTCCTGAATAAAATGCCTTCGGGGAAAAAAAATGCCTTCGAAAAACAAACCTGCAAGAAAGAGGCTACAGACTCAATCCTGGAGTCAAGTTAGACTCCATGTTCAAATTCTAGATCTACAATGTACTACTGTCTGCTTCAAGCTAGAGTGTTGCATAATCTCTGTGTTTCATATGCTTTACTTGTTCTGCATGGGATCATTGTAAGCATAAGGATGAGACACAAAAGACCCTCAACACTATCTCTGGCACACGGCTGAATCCTTTCAATGGAGGTACTGCGGTTGTAGTAGCTATTTATAGTATCTCTATCAGGGCTATTGTGAGAATGACAATCCATAAGGAAGACACCCCTATCTTCTGTTAATGTATGCTAATAATTTTTTCAAAAGCAAATTACAGGATATGTAAAGCACTTTATCAGTGATTCCAAGGTTGTTTGGCTTGTTCTTAACTCCTGGCCGTAAACAATCCTGCTACACGCCTCTAGACCTGCTCACCCTACCTCTTACCTTCCTTTTGTTGGTGGGATTGACGTAGAGGTAGCTGAGGACCGTCTTCAAACCCACTTTGTCGTTCAGCTTTTCATAGGTGGTACCATAATCTGTTGACCTACAGAAAAAGAAAAGGAAAGGGAAAGATTGTTTTATCGAATGGGGATTATGTTTAAAGGGAAGCCAGGCTCTCCCGTGACCTGCATTTTTGTTCCAGAATCACATGAGTGCTTAAAAGTGTTCTTCAGAGATAAAAAGCCCCATTAGTTTTAGAAGAGCAATTAGACTAATGCATCTGCTTACTCGACGCTTGCTCTCCTTTGCTCCCAGCCTTTCACAGAGACTTACTTTTTTTGCCCTTTGTAAAGTTGTGTGGTTAAAGGCGTCGCTGGAGACTACCTGCCTCCCACAAGGCCTCGTCTGAGTTCTCTGTGCAGTGCTGGGTAGGGCATAAGTCCCCCACACACCAGCCCTCTGTAAGGGAGCTGTGTATGGAGGCCACAGGGGAGAGGCCAGGTGTTTCTGAGACACTGGGCTGCAGCTGACTTCCTGCCTCCTCATTGAGCTTGGAGCAAGAAATTACTCAAGAGGAACAGGAAGTATCCAAGACCTCATGGGGGTCCACGGGTCAAATGAAGCCATAGCATAAAGAAACTATACAGAGGGGCAATGGTATGCCCAGGTGGAAAGTCAATGGATTAGACGGCTTGTATTGGTTCACTGTTCTATCTGATCCTCTTTGAGCCTAATTTCCAGTAGACTGACCTTCTGCAGAAAGCATAAGTAAGAGCTCAAATAAACCAAAGCCAGCAACACCCTGACTGCTCTCTCTCTATTCTGTCCAGAGGGAAAGTGCCAAACAGCTCCCACCTTAAAAACTTCCTTCCTATTCCATACTAGAATCACCAGGTTCCCACCTCTTTGGCGTCAAGATCTTCCTTGACTGGTCTTGGGAATCTTCTGCACCTGTAGCTTTAAAAGGCACAGGTGTGAACTCATTTTCTCCGTGACCAGCTGGCCTTGTGTTAGTTGGCCTCACTCTCAATTCCGCACCCTGGCTCTGCAGTCCCCAAGACTCTGACACCACAATGCCATAGTAATCATATGTTCCTGCCTTCTCTTTGATCCTTTCGCCATCTTCAAACCCTAAACTGACCCTGCTTAAGATCACAGTTTAACCCAAGAAGGCTCGTAGTGAAACTACCTGAGGGCATATGTGTCATCACTATCGCTCTTCTAGCTGGCAAAGTCCTAGTCTTAAGACCAACACCCACACCCGCACCTTCTCTGCCTCTTTTCCCACATGCCACCTTGTCTCTCCTCCGCACCAGAACACAATTTTTCATCCTACACTGAAGGCACACTGTAAACATCTCTTTCTGAACTCTGACAGCATCGTGATTGTTTCATATTCTCTGTTCCAACCACAAGGGAAGCGCCTCAAAGGTCAAAGAACTTTCTAGAACACTGTAACATAAAGAAAAAGCCTGGCACCAGTGGCTTACCTATAACCCTAGCTACTCAGGAGGCTGAGATCTGAGGATCACGGTTCAAAGCTAACCCAGGTAGGAAAGTCTATGAGACTCTTATCTCCAATTAACCACCGGAAAACCAGAAGTGGTGCTGTGGCTCAAGTGGTAGAGCACTCGCCTTGAGCTGAAGAGCTCAAGGACAGCTCCCAGGCCCAGAGTTCAAGCCCCATGACCAACAAAAAACAAAAAAAAAAAGGAAAAGTAAGAAATTTGGAGTGTAACAAAATCAGCTTCAGGAGCATGCGCAAGTTACTTTACTAGAACCTCAGATGTGTGTGTGTGTGTGTGTATACCAGCCAATAAAAGATCTTTTTCACTCAGGGGTGGTGTTCTACCACTTGAGCCATACCTCTACATCTAGTGTTTTGCTGATTAATTGGAGATAAAAGTCTCACGGACTTTTCCTGATGAGGCTGGCTTTGAAGCCTTGTTTCTGAGATCTCAGCCTCCTAAATAGCTGGATCACCAGTGTGAGCTACCAGAGTTCAGCAAACCTCAGGTTTCTTACCTAAAATAATGAGCATAATTTAATCTTACAAGGCATTTGTGAATAGGAAAAAACCAAAGTGCATTAAAATGTTTAAAAACGAAAATTCCACGACATTTGTTCATTTCTCCTTTCCTCAAAAGGCACAGAATAAGGCCTTGCACACTATGCACACTGGGCATGCTTACCACGTAAACAAATATGAGTGTTTTAAATCCTTCCCTAAGCTACTAGTTCATGGTAAGCATCAGGGATGCTAACTTTAATCATTAGTACCCCAAAATGCTAACTTCTCATGCTCTGTCTCCTATCGACTGCAGGGAGAGATCACTGGGAATCATTCTCAATCTCTCTCTTTGCCTTTACCTCTCAAAACTAGCATAGTCTCCAAGTCTTGATGGTTCTGCCTCCTAAATAACTAGGGTCCCTACTGTTGGCCTTTCTCTTTTCATACTAAAGCACGGTTGTACACGATCATTTTTGCAATGGTTCCCCCTCCTAGACCTATACTCTTCTTCTCTACTCACACCCATCTCCACACTGTCATCAAATCACATTTCACCTACCCAAATCTGTGCATGTCACTCCTCTGTAGTAATGACCCCTGCCTGCACACAGGCTCTGTCTCCTAAGCTTAGTTTTGCAAAAGGTGGCGTTGATCTAGCATAAATGGGCGAAATTCTAGTCATGTGATCCTCTGCCCCTTTCTCACCTGCTTTGTAATGATCCTAAGTGTGGCCTGTACACCAGTGCCTCTTACTCTGCTGCACATAATTCCCGTTGCCTAGACCATTCACCCCCAATTTCACCTTCATGATAAATTCAGTGTCTAACTCCAGTATCAGCCCTCTTCTAATGTTCCCACAGGGAAATTAATCACAATTTCATTTTTGTTTCCATACTGCTTTGGTATGTATTTCTATTTTAGCACTTGGTCTATTGTTTCAACTGTATTATTTCTAGTCTGGGATTTCTTCTTTGACTGTAACCCCTTAAGGGAAAGAAGGCACTTCAAATAAGAGTCCCGGGGCCTCATGTGGCATTCCTGGTACAAAGAAAACACTGAATAAACTGGCTTTTATTTTGTTTTTTTTTGTTGTTGTCATTTGTGAGAGTAAGTGAAGGAATGAGATTGTCCAGATCTACTCAGAAGTTTTAATCAATGGCTGAGATCTAGTGGTAACACAGCATATAACCACACCTCGAAACCACACTGGACACTGTGGATGCCGGCACTGCTGGTAAAATATAGCAGTAGGTGAGGACAGGGAAGATGTGTAATTCATTCATATTAGAATCAGGTTAAATGACCAGTCAACCCATCACCCTGAACAACTATGCTCCCAGGGCAGCTCAGGAGATAAGCCATGAGCTCTAGAGGCTGTAAGGTGCATACTTTTATTAATCCAATAAAACATTTTGTTAGATGAATTATGTCTTGATTCTACATTCCTTAAGGCATACAGGCAGGATGGTATACATAAAGAACATTGAACTAGGAATCTGGAAATCCTGACTCCAGAACTGATTCTGAAATGTGCTCAAAGTGTTGCCCTGAACAAGCCACACCTCTCAGCCTAGAGAAGAACAACACTGTATTCTAACACTTGATAAAATGTTATTCAGGGATACTGCAATATGACTAAGGACTGTTGCAATGGGGATTTTCAGAAGGGGAGAGAGACTGGCTCAACTCCAAACATAAGGAGGAAAAGCCAGAATGTATGATTAAGAAGCAGAGTGGAAAACAAACTTTACAATTTAGGCAGAGGTGGAGGGGGGGTGGGGGGGTAGTGGGGTATAGTTGAGGAGGTGGGAGGGACAAACAAAGGGAAAAACAAAGGAGGAGGCAACAATGCTGGATAAGAAATGTACTCATTACCTTGTTCATGTAACTGTAACCCCTCTGTACAGTATGTTCACAATAAAAAACTTATTATAAAAAGAAGCAGATTGGAGGTCAATGGATGAAAAATTAGCAAGACAGTGGGGTAATTCTTAGCTAAACTGATCTAGTAGACTGCTGAATATAGGACAAGGTGATTAGCTTTTCCTCGGGTTGGGAGCAGTGGAAGGTTGAGGACTTTGATTGGATATTGAGGCTGGAGAATTGACTTAGCAGAGTTCTTTGATTGGACATTGAGGCTTAGGATTCTACCTCCACAGAATTCTTGCTAAAACTGGCCTCTTAAAAAAATCATGCCCTAAGATTACCAGTAAATTAAAACAGGCTCGTGCCTTTTCTTTTCAATGTAAAGGTGATGTACAGAGGGGTTGCTGTTACAGAAGTCAGGTAATAAGTAAATTTCTTTTTGAAGAGTGTCACCTTTTCCTTCATTTTCTCCCAGTCGCCCCCTCCCCTCGCCCCCAGACAGGTTATATAATTCATTCTCAACACAGTGTCTAGTGAGTATCACGTCAGCATTAGTTCACCATTTGTTGGCCTTTTCATTTCAATAGCTAAGTGCATATGATCATATGAAATTATGAACTCCAAGCAATGGAAACAAGAGGGTTTATTATTTTACTTTTTGTGGTATTTTCCCCCCTTGTTGCTGTTTTTGACTTATGTACTTTTGTAGGTAAGTTTATTTATTTGAGGGTGGGCAAGGAGGAACACAGAAATGGTTGGACACAGGGCCATGCCTGTTTTGGGGGGGTTTTTTGGTTGGTCCTGGGGCCTGAACTCTGGGCCTGGACACTGTCCCTCAGCTCTTCAGCTCAAGGCCAGTGCTCTACCACTTGAGCCACAGTGCCACTTCAGGCTTTTTCTTCTTATGCAGTGCTGAGGAATCAAACCCAGGGCCTTATGCATGCAAGGCAAGCACTGTAGAGAGCTGCGTGCAGCTGCACCTTATGGCGTGGGCTTCCGCCCTCCGCCTTCCCGATGGCCAGTGCTCTCTGTGGTAAACAACTCCTTATATGGCTAAGGCATAGAATCTGGCTTGCTTCCGCGCACCTGGACCTATTGATGGCTCCCACGTGGTGTATCAGGGCTGGCTACCCAGCGGGTACTTAAGGCTGTGGGGGATTCTCCCTGGGGTCAGAAGATTGCTCAAAGGTCCTGAATAAACTGCAGAGAGAAGAGCTCGGTGTCGC